CAGGCTATTCTAGACCTTGGGGGCTCGGACAGTAAAGAAACTCTTTCTTATGTCCAGTATGAAATGGTTTTGCAGGAGTTTATAACCATTTGACCTTGTCATCACTTGGGGGGCTCTGGTGAACAATCATTCCCCCAGATTCTGGTGAACACCCCTAATAAACTTATAGGTGGCCACCAGATCACCCCTGAGCTTGCACTTTTCCAGGCTGAAGAGTCCCATAGCTCTCAGCCTGCAATTGTAAGGTATGCTTTCCTGACCTCTGATCATGCGCGTAGCTCTTCTCTGGACTCTCTCAAGCTTCTCCACATCCTTTTTGAATTGTGAAGCCCAAAACTGGACGCAGTACTCCAGCTGTGGCCTCACCAAGGCCAAGTACAACAGGAGAATGACATCCCAGGATTTGCTTGAGAAGCATCTATGGATGCAAGCCAGCATTTTGCTCACTTTACTAGCTGCAGCATCACATTGAAGGCTCATGTTCATTTTGTGGTCAATTATGACCCCCAAGTCCCTTTCATCCATAGTGCTAGCCAGCATAGCACTGCCAAGTTTATAAGGATGTTGCAGGTTTTTCTTCTCAAGGTGGAGAACCTTGCATTTTTCGGTGTTAAACACCATCAGGTTCTCGTCCGCCCATTTTCTGAGCCTGTCAGGATGGCACCCTCCTGGTGCTTTACCCCAAAGTTCGTTATCATCCGCGAACTTGGCCAGCCTGCTTCTGACTCCAATGGCCACATCATTAATGAAGATGTTGAACAATACAGGTCCAAGGACAGAGCCTTGGGGGACCCCACTGGTCACAGGGCACCATGACGAATGACTTCTGTCAACCACCCCCCTCTGGGTTCAACCACAGAGCCAATTCCCCAGCCAGCGGATTGTGGCAGTTGGTCAGTTTTGCCAAGAGGCGATCATGGGATACGAGGTCAAAGCCTTTTTTGAAGTCAAGATATATGACGTCAATCTCCTCTCCCTTGTCCAAGTGATAGGTCACCTGGTCGTAAAAGGAAATGAGATTGGTCAAGCAAAATCTACCCACAACAAACCCATCCTGGGTATCCCTCAGGATGTTGCCATCGGCCAGTCCGTTGAGGATTTTTTCTAAGACCTTCCCTAGGACAGAGGTCAGGCTGATGGGCCTGTATTTTCCTCCCATTCTTGAAGATAGGCACCACATTCGCCTTCTTCCAATCTTCAGGCACTTCACCAGAGCACCAGGAACTCTTAAAGATCTGTGCCAGGGGCTGAGCTACGATGCTAGCCAGCTCCTTGAGTACCCTGGTGTGTAAACCATCACCGCCAGCTTACTTGAAGGTGTCCAGCCTCTCAAGGTGCTCCTTCACGAGGTCAGCATTGATGTTGGGTAAGGGATCTCCCTCACCCGGGCCTCACTGTTCCATAATGGGCAGGGGCAACCCGTGGGACTGATGAAAAACCGACGCAAAGTACCCATTTAGTAGGTTGGCTTTTTCCTGGGCATCGGTTGTCAGTTGTCCCTTCTGGTTTAGCAGGGGTCCAATGTTGCCCTTGCTTTCCTCCAGTGTAGCAAAACCCCCAGTTTTTCTTTTCTTTTTTTGTTTTTAAATGCATTCCCTCCCCTTCCCCAACCATTTCTGACTTTGTCTCTACCTCTCTATTCCCTATAGATAAGTATAAGCGAGCTAAGACATAGGATAAGCTTCAGCATTTTATTTTGGTAGAAAGTTGTATTTGTTTTGTTTTTTCTCCTTCTTTATATTGTATAATCATCATGTTTATATTGATTTTTACTGTTGTATGTTACTGTTTTACTGGTACTATATGATTTAGACCTACATATGTAAGTTAGCATAAGTCATGTCAAGTTTCCATTTTGTTTGTCAAATCTCCATCCTGTCCCCAGGCCTGGTTGTGTAACCCATGACTCGCACCTACCTCTCCTATGTAACTTGGTTCCTGAATGAATGGGGATGAATGAGGGTGCTTGAGAGACAATGGCAGTTGGTTTAAAAATAGCTCCCTCTGAATGACCGAATCATCAGCACCAATACCTGGACCAATGACCCAGCCATTGGAACCACCCTCAGCTTTCAAAAAACAAAAGATGAGGCAAACCACCATTGTGCCAAGGTTACACATGCTCAGTAAGAACACCTGGAACCCTCTGGAACAGGACTGGCATTGCCTGGACAGACCCTCCCCATAGGAGATCAGAGGTAGTCTGCCCCATAGAAAGGGGCAGTGAAAACTGACTCCTTGGGACGCCCTCTCCATCTGGACCAGCACCATGCCACACCACCTATCCACCCAGAGGCACTGATGATGACGTGTGTGTGTGTGTGTGTGTGTGTGTGTGTGTGTGTGTGTGTGTGTGTGTGTGTGTGTGTGTGTGTGTGTGTGTGAGAGAGAGAGAGAACCAATAACTTCATGGGGCTGTGTAGCGTATTGTCTTTTTAATAAAGCTGTTATTTGGACCCCTGAGTTGGGTTCAGCCCTGCTCCAATCTCTGCTCCTCGTCCCTCTAACTTGTGTCTCATTTCTACCTCTCCTGCTTCTGGCTCACTGCCACCTCCAACATCTGTCCTGAGCTCCTCTCTGCCTCCAAACCCCCTGTTTCTTTGCCACTGTCTTTCCCCACTGCCTTTTCCCTTGAGCAGCCAGGTTTTTGCCTCAGTTTCTTTCCTGGCTGTCTCCTACTTACCACCACTTATCTGCACCCCCCACCCCCCCAAAATATCTCAGCTGTCTGCCTCAGTTTCCAGCCCCAAGCTCCCAGGTTTCTCTCTCTCTCTCTTTCCTGGCTGTCTCCTCCTTGCCACCAGGCTTCCCCCAGCCCCCGTGCACCAGTGACCTTGAGTAACCCTGGGGCCACTTAATCTTAAGTAAACCCAAGCCTCAGTTCCTCAGCTAGCTTCTCTCTAGTCCACTGGTTCTAATCCCGGTTCTGGCAACTTTCACTCCCTACACTTTAACGCTCTCTCTCTCACCTTAACCTTCCCCCAAGTACCCCAAGCACACACACACACACACACACACACTGTACCATCCAAGTTAGGAACTTACCTGTGTGTATGTGTAGGTAGGTTGATGTATGTGAACTGGTGAGTGTGTATATATATATCTCATTGTGTGCATGATATATGAATTAGTGATCTGTGTATGTATACTAAGTGTGCAGGTATTGACAATTGATTTTTGTCTAATTCTTAGTGTGTAGTGTGTATGTGCTTGAATTGGTGATAGGTATGCATGTGTCTAGGCTGGTTTGGATGTGTATGTACCTGAGCTGGTAGAGTGTGTGTGTGTGTGTGTGTGTGTGTGTACCTACTTGATTTTTGAGTGTGTGCATGTGCAATTGTACACCATGCCCTCATGTCTAACAGCACAATATTGAGATCCAGAGGGTTGGCCTGACCCCACAGGGCAACACTGGCTCCCCACCTATCAAAAATGAACTTTTTATTATCCTTGACACTTGTAGCTAGTTGGAGTTCAGTTGCAGCCTTGGCTTTCCTTGTTCACTCCCTGCAGGTCCGGACTATTGCGGAATATTCCTCCTTGGAGGTGGATCCCGTCCTCCATTCTTTGTAGGTCTTTCTTTTTAGCTGCAGGAGGTCCACTAGTTCCCTGGAGAGCCAAGGGGGCTGCTGTGCCCTTTTCCTGCCTTTCCTCTGAGACGGAATGGCATTAGCTTGTGCATCAAGGATCACTCCCTTAAGGAGCAACCACTCTTCCTGAACTCCCCTTTCCTTTGGGTCATGGTCCCTTAGGGCCTCACAGACAAGCCTCCTGATCTTGTCAAAGTCAGCTTTCCTGAAGTCAAGAGCTTCTGTACTGCTGACTGTCTTGACAGCTTTACAGCAGATGATGAAAGTGATCAGCTCATGGTTGCTGTCACCCAGCTTCCCATCAATTGTTAGGTCACCGATTAGGTTGTCCCCGGTTGCCAGTACCGGGTCGAACAGCGCTTTACCTCTCATTGGTCCGTAGACCTCGTGTGTCAGATAGAGGTCATCCACGCACAAGAGGAAGCTTTGCAACTGCTCGGATTTAGCTGGGTGCTCTTCCTACAAGGTGTCTGGGTAGTTGAAGTCTCCCATGACAACCATGGACCTTGAGCATGCGGCTTCAGCCAATTCCCTGGTGAATTCCTGGTCAAACTCTTGACTTTGGGTGGAAGGTCTGTAGTAGACTCCCACCATCATGTCCCCTGTGCTGTATTCCCCACGGATTTTAACCCAAAGGGTCTCCAGCCATCCACCCTGGTCGCCAATGTCAGCTAGCAGGGACATGCATCTCACCTTGACATAGAGAGCTACGCCCCCGCCTCTTTTACCTACTTGATCTCTCCTGTACCAGGTATAGCTGTTTATACCCATGGTCTAGTCATGGGTGGAGTCCCATCAGGTATCCGTTAATTTAGAGAAGCATTGAGATGTAGCTGAATTATAATTTTTGTTTTCCATTGACCCATTGTATACAGATTTGGATCATTGAAACTAGATTTGTGTCTCAGTTTCTATATCTGTCAGATACTACATATATACATTACCTATCTTCAACAGCACTGCAAACATTAACTACTAGCTGTACAGTTCTAAGCATTATTTTTAACAAACAAAAAGCCTGTTTCACTTAATATAGTTGATAACAGTAGCAGTCCTGTTACAGCTGATATTGTTTGTTTTGTATTTGTAAAAGACATGTTTAAGCTACTGCATTTGTTGTTCTGATTTTTTCCTCCTTTGTCTTCATTTAGAAGTATAAAGCCAGGTTAAACATTTAACTTATACTTATAAGTATGACTTGACTTATGCAGGAGCATAGAGTTCCTCAAAATACTGCTGAATATACTACTTTTCTGCTTGATAATGAATATCTGTTTAACCAAATACTATTCAGTCCCCTGGAAAAAAGCCCTAACACTTACTTACAGGCCAAGTAATTGGGCTAAGGCAATCAAGAACATGAACATGTTCTAAAGCTAAAAAGCTGCTATCAATGGATGCTTACTGTACCTGGTTATTGTTAGTTTTTAATAAAGGTGGTGGTGGTTCATGATGTAGTGGTGAGGAGGCTGAACTGCTGTCACTGTCACTGCCATCACTTAGACTAACCCTGAGGAGAAAGAGCGCCACAAAAGTTAGATATGAAAACATAAGACAGCATATGTGGACAGACTTTTCAGGTGAGAACATCCTTTGCTACACAAGCTATCATTAACTGAAGGAAAGTGCTACTGAGTAATGGTCAAGAACCCAGGCAACCTGCTGCTGCCACCTTGGAGAATCCAACTGGAATAAGCCTCATGTAATACAGAGAGCTGAAGGTGCCTATCTTTCCACAAACCTTGTGCCTCAATGGAAGTACACTGTTTAATTATATAGCTATCAATATTAAACAGAACAGGAACAGCAGCAAACTTGATTTAACTTCTATGGTTTTCTGAGTGAGGCAGAGATGTATGTGCCTAAATTGCAGGACCACTTGAAACTATGGGAAGGAGGAACATGTCCTTTGTTCCATAATCTTCCTCACTCCTGCTTGTACAAGCATTTCATTGCAAATATGCTGAACAGAATAAGATTATTATAATTATAAAAGGGGGACCTGGTGACCGTCTATAAACTCACTAGGGGGAACCAGAGGGGTTTGGGGGAGACGCTGTTTCCCCTAGCCCCCGCTGGCATAACAAGGAGTAATGGGCACAAGTTGATGGAGAGGAGGTACAGATTGGACATCCGAAAAAATTACTTCACAGTTAGGGTGGCTAGGAGCTAGAACCAACTTCCAAGGGAGGTGGTGCTGGCCCCTACCCTGGGGGTCTTTAAGAAGAGGCTGGATGCCTACCTGGCTGGACTCATTTGAGTCCCGTTTTTGTTTTTAGGGGGTTTTTTGTTGTTCTCCCGCCCTGGCGGGGGGTCGGGCTAGAAGATCTATTAGGTCCCTTCCAACCCTGAAACTATGAAACTATGAAACTATGAAACTAATTGTTTTTATTTTATACTTTTCCCCTAGCTGTGAATTAACAGTTCAATATCTTAGGAGAAGTCAAGACTAGAAACAATTCCTAATTAGTTCTAATCAGTATCATTTTCTGTTTACTAAGCTTGAGAACAGCTACAGAACCCAACTCAAAAATAACAAAACAAAATAAAACAAGAACATAGGGGAAATTGTCATGTGCTAAAAAATTAGCAATTAGTTAAGAGAGAGAGAGAGAGAGAGAGAGAGAGAGAAACATTTCTGTTATTCTGAAGTTCTTGCAGAAAATGGTGCTGGTCATAAACCTTCTTATTCCTCTTAATTCTACCTGCTGATTTGCATTAAAGAGATGGCTAAAACTACACTGAATAATTTCTTTATATGACTTTTCCATGTCAGCAGTTGGTAATTATGATGGGCAAGGCAAACAGAACCCCAGTATTAGACAAGGTCCCCATCAGGAAGGGGTTTGAGAACTTGTGTTTTAGCTTTACATTAACTTTCAGTGACATGTTGCAACAGCTTCAAACTGTATGTGGACTTTTTTTTTAAATGTCATATTGAAGTCACAGTTAGGATACATAACAGATTAAAAAGACAGGCAAGGAGCATCATTTTTGGGACGGAGGCCTTGCTCTATGTTCTACATGTACTGTGAACATTTTTTTTTCAGATTCTCCCCTGGAATAGTTGAACTTTAAATCATTTGTAAGATTCTTGTGTTAACTTGTATCTCATGGAACAGGTCACATTGCACACAGAGGGCTTGATTTAGGTCTAACACCATTGTAAATCAAGATTAATCACTGGCATCACAATCGTGTGAAAAATCAGTGCAAGTTAAGTGAATCAAGCTGACAATAAACCTAATGGTTTTTACAGAAGCAGCTCACATTCAGGAACGTCTGGATGTTATAGTTTACAGGAGGTACTTCATGTGTGTTCTCCTTGTAGAAAATGACTGTGGAATTTCCTGGCTGTTTATCAGACTTATTGTAGCTCAGGTGCTGATACCCTGTCCGCCTATCACAACTATGGTCCAACACAGTTCCTCATTTTTCAGGTTGTTGGCAATTGTATGCTACTCACCTGCGACCTCTGTTTCCTCCACAAGTATTTACAGGTCTCTCCATTTCAGAGTCATTCTCATCTGCTTCATCTGATTCATCTTCATTATCATCAGAATGCAGATCTTTCATTATAGACCTCAAGGGACCTGAACAACACAATCAACAAAACATACACAAATCAAACTCACATTGCAATGCTCAAAGAAAATAATCCAGCTTAATAAAAAGAAAAAAAAAAACTCCAAATGCAGTACTGAGAGAGAAGACTTTTAAACATTAAACTAATTAAGTAACATGCTTGAGGCTTATGCTACTGACACACATGAATCGTTTACTCATGTGAGTAGGCTTGTAGGCTTAATCAAGAGTAGGCTTAATCTTGATTTACAACTTCACTAGGCTTACTCACAACAGTAAAAGGAGTAATACATATAAGTGTTTGCAGAACTGGTCCCCTGCAAGGTCGCTGAAGTAAGTAAAATATTTTCATACCAAATATTCTCCATGCATGTTTTAATTTAGGAAAAATGGAATGTTATTTTTTGTTATTGTAAACAGGATACTTTTACACTGGCAGGCTTCCCTCCTTCTCTTCCTCAAAGGATATTCTATTGGAATAAAGCTCTAAAGGGACATATTGGTAATAGCACATTTGTTAAGTTAATTGATGTATTGAAAAGCAAAGTCTAATAAATCATTTTGATTGTAACTTGTTCTGGGCAACGCAGTCTTTGTCTGCCTGTTTTTGATCTATTTAGATTTAGCTGTTCCCTTTATTTCAAAGACAAATTTCAGGTCAAGCGAGCACTTTGCTACTGTGGCTGTTTAAAAAAAAAAGTGTGTCAATCCCATGTGACACCATCCTATCTCTCTCCTTGAATTTGTCTGAGGTGTTAAGCCTGGTTCTCTTGTAAACCTGCTTAAACATCAGTTTAGGATTTAGCTACTTTTATTTAATCTATTTTTTATAATGTAGTTATTCAAATCTGCATGTTTAACATTTCCAGGCAATGTAAAACAGGACAGCTACTTTAAAGGAGGACCAGTAAGGAACAATTTGAGAGAATCATGCCACAGGGAGTTTGATTCTAGAGTACATCATATTTAAACACACAAAGCAGCCAAGCTGGGCCCACCTGGCCCTGACCCCCCAGCCAGAAGTCCCAGCAGGGGATCCTGGCCTGGGACCATGTGACTGCATCACACCAGAAACTCAAGCAAACACTGCCCAGTGCAGCAAGCAGGGGGGACACAGCTGCTACCGCCACAGCACAGCCCCAATGGGCGAGCTCGGAGCTGGTGTTGAGCACAGGAAAAATGGCCCCTCCCCTGCCCTGTGGCCGGCCGGGAGCCCCCAGCCAGGGGGCCGGGGCCTGCCTGTGCCTACTCCGGACAGCCCCATGGGCTGCGAGCGGCTGCAGCAGGGAGCACCGGCCACAGGGCAGGGAAGGAGCCGCTTTTCTTTGCACTTAGCACCAGCTCATTCCTTGCCGTGGAGCAGGGGTTCAGGACTTCACACTGCCCCTTACGTGTACCACGGGGCTGGATGGCACTGGGAGTGAGTGGGTACATGGGGCCCACACCGGTGTCCTGGGTCCAGCGCCGGTGGGGCCCAGAGCAGGGCAGCAGGAGTATGGGGACACGGCTGGCAGGGGCTCTATGGAGCCAGGCCAGCTCCCCACCCTCCCTGCTGGTGCAGCCCAGCCCAGCCCCCTGCCAGCCTGCACCCAGCTCTGAGCCCCACCGGTGCTAGCCCTGAGACATTGGTCCCAAGACATTGGGACATTGGTCCCAACATGGTGACCAGGGGGCGGGGCACCTGTGAAGGGTCAGGGCTACCCATGCGGCCCTCGACAGCTTGCCAAAACTCGGTAAGCAGACCTCTGCCTGAAATAATTGCCTGCCCTTGCTTTAAAGGGTGCTGTGAGGTGTGAGAAGGTAAGTGAAGTATGATGTAATAAGCAGATGAACTAAGTTCAGGCTTGTCCCAGCACAGACAATCCCCCATCCATACTGCCCAGCCCCTGTGTAAGGAAGTAAGCACTGTGATATACAAATTCGTTTTTGACATTGGTTGCCATTCAATTCACGAAAGTTATGGAGGGGTGCCTCAAGTCCAGTGAGGCTGAGAGCCACTGTTTTAATTTTAAAAACTCAAAGTACATTGCTAATGTAATTGAATTAAGCCTCATAAGACTTTTGTAATGTAGTTAGGTACTGTTACATGAAGTTTGATAAACAGAGAAACTGAGTCAGAGAGAGGTTCTGTCATATAACATCAGAGCTGAAACAAAGCCAGAACTCCTGCTAGGCAAGGGAGCAATGGCTGCTCCAGGCACTGGGAGCCAGGCGGACTGAGCAGTGTGGCAAAGTCCCTGCCCACTCCTCACACTGGGGAATCTGTTTTGCGGATTGGGTGGGGAGCAGTGGGAGGCTGCTCCTCCCCTACCCTCCCATAAGCCAAAGTGAGGGGAGCATCTAACCCTCACAGCTTCTCTAGACAAGGATGATTCCATCCTGGGGAAGGCAGGACTGGGAGGAGGTAAACAGCAGCTTCTTTCTCCAGAAGCATTATAAGGGAAGGGGAAGGAGAGGGGAGTGACCAGGGCCACAGCTCCAGGCACTGCCTTTGGGAGTCAGGGGAAGGGAGGGAAGGTGGCAAGTGCAAAAATAGTCACAACTACAGTGGCAGCTGATCACACTGTTGCAATTGGCACTGCAATAGTTGGCACTGCTCCAACCATTGCACAGCTGCTCAGGGTGTGGAACTGGTCTGGCTTTTCCCACCTTCCCCTGGTCACAGAATGCTTGAGAAACATTTCATAACCACCCGACTCCTGTTCACTGGGAAGAGTCAAGTGGCAGAGAAGCATTTCTTTCTTGGGAGAAAATCTCTTGGAAGCGACTTGTAGCTGATTGGAGGTAGATTATTTTTCTCTGGGAACAGCCATTTTTGTTCTGGGAGAAGCTGTGTGAGTAACTGTATGAACACGGTTTCTACCAGAAGGGCTGCAGTTCTTCAAAAGAAATATAACACCTGTACACAGCCATATGACCAGACTTCCCTAAGGGAGGGGAAACTGTGCCGTGGTTTACATCAATTCTGACAGAAGTCAGGCCAGCGTCATTCTAATTACTTTGGCTGGCAACATCAGTTCTCAAAAATCTTTATTTAAAACAGTATACAAGTGAGGAAATACAAGATTTGTTGAAGTTGGCTTGGTTTGAGCAAATTCAAATCAGTGGCTTCTGATCATTATTTACACACCTTGAGGCCTGCTTGGAGTCAAGCCCAGATAGAGCTGATGTGCAGATACCTAGTGGGTCAGGCACTCTAATGCCAGAAGAGGCAACTCCCATGGTAGTATTCATTGCCAGCTGAGGCACTAATAAGTGCTTGCCACAAGCTAAAGCAGATGATCAGCACTGTCTCTTTTGCCTGTTTAAGATTTACACCAGAGTAAGCTCACCCAATTCAAAATCCTTATTGTTGTACTCTGAATTAATATCTGGTGGTTTGAGCCCTTCTCAGGACTCTTCAGAAGAGAAGCCTTGTTCTTGGCTTTTGATAAGCTTGTGGGAGTCTAGGAATAAATTCTTCCCCTGGCATCTGCATTACCACCGCAGGGACTGGAGAAGGAGATACCAGTTGGTCCTGTTGGCTAGCTCCCTCCTTGGTTGTCTATGTGTGCACAGAGTGAGTGGCTGAAGGGCAAAACAGTTGAAGAGAAAGAGCAAAAGGACTAATGAAGGGAATTAAGGTGAAACTATGAGAAAGAGGCTATATTTGGAAAGCAAGCAGATAGAGGGAAGATAAGAAAAAGATTAAGAAATTGAATATGTATGTATAAGAGAGAAATGAAGGATAGAAAGTATGAAAAGGATAGAAACATTTAAAAATAAAGTAAAAATGGAAAAGGAGCTGAAAAATACAGAAGAAAAAGTATAGGAAAGTAAAGTAAGAAAAAAACCAAGAGGCAACAGCAAGTTAAAAAACTAATATAGGATGGAAATTTAACAACAACATACAAAAATACCTGATCCTTCTCAAAGGTGGGCGCACACAAAAAACCCCCCAAACAAACAAATAAACAAACCCCCCCACATTTATCCATTACTACTCTCTGAGGTATATTATGTTGCAAAGATGTGCAAGGCCACTCTAAGTATCTTGTCCTCCAGTGATCCTTTTTGGATTCACTAGCTGTCCTTAGATAGTTTTGAGTATTTGATTCTCCAGGGA